ATTTGTTAAATCTAGAACGTGGGGATTGAATTCTTTAACAGACCCATTAAGTACATCTCTGATATGTTTAAGTCCATGCAAAACGGTAAGAATCGAAATATCATTTGACGTTGGTACGTTGGATTCTTCATTGCTATTACCCGCAATATACTCAAATGAAGAACGAGATGTCGTTCCATCGGAACTTTTTTCGATCTTATCGGCATCTCCTGCATTAACATCTTCTCTAGATTTTGCTTTTCCCAATAACTCTTGTTCAAGAATATTAATACTCCTTTGTATAACGATTCCCATCTGCCGATTTTGTTCCTTAAGCTTTAAGATGTCTTCTGAATTTTGATGGGATTCTGTGTCATGTGCCATTTGTTGATAGGAATGTGCATATCTTTGGGGAAAATCTGACGTGCTTTGACGTTTTCTATGATCATATTGACCATCGGGACGACGAAGAACATTTTTCTGCAAGAAAAAAAGAATTATGCAGATTCATGTAATCTAATATCTGATACCTTATTTTGTAAAGCTAATACAATAAATAATTTACTTTTACTTCTCCTACCGCAGACAAAATAGCTTTATTAAGTATCACGGCACTATTCTTAGTTACATGAACAAATCCATCTGGTACCAAACCTTCAATACGATTTGATTCTTTTTGGACAGGAATCTGAATGGGAATGACGGGTTTTCGTAACCTTATTGCGTTTTGTTGAATTATATAATTACCACCCTCAGGTGACAAATGATCGCGAAGATATATCGCTTGCGGTACAAGCACTTCGACATCATTTATTGAAGGATAACGCATTAACATGCTTAAACATCCTGCATAATCTGATTCAAGTACTGTCAAATATCGAGAGAAATATTTGTTAGCATTGAATATTAGTCAAATATTATAGTTTATATACTTACGCTCATCACGAATACGCAACATGAGTGCCAGACATACAAAATCGACAATTCTTAGCGCCGGATCTTCAGCAAACATTCCATCCCATAATACTAAAACCTGATTTATAGGAAACTCGCGTCCAAAAAGAAGCCTTATCCAGCGTCTGTAATGTAAAATAATTGTTAATCATAAATTGTAGCATTCAATTAAACGCGTGTGGTTAGTCACTGTAACCCATTTTATCAAAAGGAATTTATAAACATGAAGGATAACATGATGATTGCGATGTCTGAATACCTTCTGAAAGCTTATTTGCTTTGAAAAAAGGGTCAGTGACAATATATACTAAAATTTATGATACAAAAAGAAAAAAAAGAAAAAAAGGACATACATTCCATAAAGTTGTGGTTCGATTTCTAAATTTTTCAAATGGTTATATAGTTCTGTATCAATTGTTCTGAGATACTCCTCATGAATTTTATTACATTTCATGACTACGGGTGTTAATTTTGCGGCCTTAATAAATTTTAATAAATGGTTTACATGATATACACCATTAGTTATGTACAAATAAATTACATGTGATAATATATATATTAACGTACCTCTGCTTGTGCTTCCTTTATTAAGCGAGCATAATCAACATCTGAGCTTTGACCCGAACGCTACAGATACCAAACACTTAGTAACATTATATGAGAAAATAACAATTGTTACAAGAGTTAAGCGCAAACCTTAGCAGGTCTACGATTAAACACTTCATCATTATATTCGTAATAAGCTTTGGCAGATTTCATCAGCGAAGAAAAAAGCGCAAAAGTATCATGTTCTACATAATCTGCACTCAGCACTTGTCTGATAATAGCATCTTCGCTATTCTCCATTGCGTATCCATTTGTACTAGACAAACTTTCATTATCAACTACCCACAATATTGGAGCTAAAAGTTCGTGCATTCCTTGACGATATGACACATCAGTATTCATTTTACAATAAATGAAAAGAATATCTAGTAATCGATTTTGAGCTGATGTAGAACGAAAATATTCATTTTCCGGAAATCTATAAAATTTAATTAATTTGTTATCAATAAACACACAAATAAGTATAATATATTATAGCGTGACACTTTACGTTCTTTCCACGTCTTGCTTAATAATTTTTCGTAATTCCGTATCTTTGAAATATTCTTGCCAAGGATTCTAAAAGATTACCGTTCGAAACATTATGCTTATATTTTAAATTATTCAATAAAATATTTAATTTGATTTGATTTGATCACGTACAGCTTGGTCCAAAGACAACGGATTATTAACATTTAAATCAGTCGAGTTACTATCATTTTCATTATCAGTAGTTGGACTCGTAATATATTTTTGGCGAAGATCCGCATAATGTTGTCGTTCTTTATTAAGAGTAAGAGACCAAGTTTCGGTATCTAGACTTGGCAAATAAGCCAAATATAACTATATACATAGTTTGTTAAGAGTATTAATCAGTTATAATATTAAAAAAAATCGTTCAAAGGAAAGAAAAACTTACCTTCCAGCAAATAGATCTTAGACTCTGAGAACAAACATTTCCTTTATAACCTTTTTCACGTAAAGAGGTTAAGGAAAGCAAAGGATCCTTAAAAATAACGTCCCACTTGGTTCTAAATAATTAATGGTGCAATCCGTTTATTTACTCCTGAAAATCTAGGAGAAAAGGGGATTAAAAACATACTTCACTTCTTCAAAATCCATTATTCAAGAAAATAACAGACCAAAGTTAAAATTTTTGTGTTTTTATATTATTGTTGTATTGTATAGTGAGGTTGTACAATTTACAAAAAAAATTGTGAAACAAATATTTTTATGAAACATTACGATTTATAGTTAGTGGGTCTCGTCGCATTTTAAAAGGAAAAACGGCGGACGATAATGCATCAAGCAAGCAAGTGCGTTCGCCTAGCTCATGAAACTTGCACTATAACGGCATCAACGATAAATTAGGGTCAAATTAACAATCAACATCTGATATGCCAATTTCCATACGATTATCAGCACATTTATTTACTCTACTATATAATCGAAGATAAATAACTATATAATAACTAATACATATACACAATACAAAAATTACAAAATAATTAGTTTCTACAAATGTCCTAAAAAAATTATCATAAATTTTCAACTATATCGTCTAATTTTACTAGTCTTCTGCCGGAAGACCATCATCAACTGTAAACACGAAGTGTTAAATAAAGTGTTAAATTTTGTGATTAATGAAAAAAAAAGACAATTTACTCGTGAAATTACCTCTTCTTCTGTAAATGGTGATTTCTTGTTGTTTGAAGTACCTCCGGTTCTCCTCGTCAACAAGAACAAGATTGAGATAATAACGCGTGGAGAATTTTTTGTTTACATCACGAAAGGTTGGTGTCAACTCAAATCCACCAAGAAACAGACGAATGGGAATCGTCTCACCTAATCAATAAATGGATCCAAGTTATTAGTCATTCGTTTATACATCAGAAATATGCCATACATGAACTCACCACGTACTGGTGCACCGTCCATAATCTCAAATTTAGTAATCGTCTCACTTTCATTATATTGATTTGGTGCTAGATAATTCAATAGACAAATTTTATATATAATTATAATTCGATATTTTATTTTATTAGGAATAATTACCTGCACCAGTTGTTTCCCGGCGAATAATAGACAGTTCCATATACCTAATCTTTATACGAACAAGTAGGAAGTAAATCTTTCCTACAATGACATCTTTAAGATGGTATCTATATAAATTGAATAAATTATTAAAAAATAATCGTATTGATAAAGTATTACCGTTTATCACTGTATATAATGCCTGGGGTATTTAAGAACTCATACTTTTAGAATTGAATAATACCTGGGGTATACTTTGTACAAAAACGAGTATTATATTTTGGGATATATTGAAAAAGTAATAATTTATATTTCCAGGTATTAATCAAGAATTAGACCTGGATGGATGGTGAAAGTACTCGGGTCGAGGTACTATTTTATGGGATACTATATACAGTGATGGTAAACAAGTGGTAAACGTGTTTAAAAAGATAATGATAATACCTTGATTTGTTATATTCGAATTCAATATGTAAACAGTCTTCGATACCCACTTCCATTTTAATAGAACTATTACTATCTGGTGGCATACGATACGAATAAACCCATATATCTTTCTCGTTCACAATATCCGTTAAACGCCTCGAAATAGTAACGCGTACGAAGTATCTGAAGCAAAGATTAGACTTGATCTTAATTCAAAGCTACATGGAAATAATTATATAATAATTACCTCAACTTGACATTTATTCCGTGATAACTTTCATATGGTTTTTCAACGTTTTTAAATTCAAAGTCAAAATATTGTGGTTGACGCATTTCACCAGGTACAGCCAATTCTTGAACAAGTGCAGTAAATTCATAATGGTTACCACGATCATAGAATAGCTCTACATTTATTAACATAATTTCATACGTAATTGGATCAATTAGCGCGTAATTATATGGAATTTTCGATTTATGGATGAGTCGAACCCTTACCAATGTTTCCAACAAATTCAATTTTAATGCCCTGATGTTCAAGTTTTTTGCCGTCTCGAGGTCTAATGGTCACCTATGAAAATTAAGATATTTTCAAGGTTGTTAGTATATATTTTTAAGACAGTTATTTAGCTTGTAATAAAAAGAGTCGACTTACCCTTCCGGCTACTGTCTCACCATCAAAGTATAAGGGGAATTTCTCCCGACGGTCCTTATCAATTTTTACTTCCACTAACTTTCTATTTTCTTCACCGTTGAATCGAACGTCAATGTCAACTGGCGCGCTAAAGTTAAAAAACCCCTATTTGAGGCATAAAATTAGCTTTTAGGTACCATTAACAACCAGTCAATTTAAATCAAATTCAGGTAAATACTAACAGCCATAATCTTCCCAAAGGCTAAGAGAATGACAATAATAGTATAGGAATTAAATATGTAGGACTTATGATTACTATATGTAGTAGCCTGCATGCCTGGCATCATCTATGTCCACGTGCAAACATGGATTTCATTTTTCATTACTTCTACGTATACGTATTATAATCAATCATGGATGGACATATCGTTGACGTGCATGCACATTTGTATCCTTCTTCCTTTCCAACCACGCCCATCGAGCAAATTTTAACTCGAGCAAAAGCTGTGAACGTATCTTCAATAATTACCGTTCCAGAAACAATAGAGGATGCTCAAAGTATTTTTGAATTGAAAAATGATTTAACGTTATCAAGCTCACTCCGAGATATGATCGAGCCATGCGCGGGCTTGCATCCAGTCACACCGCAGGGAGCAATGAGTTTAATTAGAGTGGATCAAGCAGATAGCATTCTCCAGTTTATAAAAGATAAATCAGCAGAGTTGGTTGGTATTGGTGAAGGTAATATAAAATTATATAATTTTTTATTCATTGCATACTATATAGTTATTGGATGCGAAGCAGCCAATAACGAGAATTGTTCGTAAAATAATTCATAGGAGTTATTGGCTAGCGTAGCATACAATAACGGTTTTATCGGTGGTTTACGACGATTGTGCTTCTAAATAACTCGAGTTTTGGTAGTGATTACATAAACTGCCAAATAACTCGAGTTATTTTGGCAGCACTATCATAGTAAGCTGCCGGATAAATATTTTTACTGATTTATACTTTTCTACATAGTTGGCCTGGATTTTAGTCCACGCATTATGAATAATGCTATTGCTGGTTATCCAGATTTAAAATTGGACGTTGAGGATCTTAAAAAAGCGCAACGTAACGTCTTAGCGCGTCACATAGATCTATCCCTTCAATTTGATCTTCCCCTTAATGTTCACTCTCGTTCTGCAGGTCATCATACTTTGGATTGTTTGCGAGATTATGGTGCAAGGAAAGTTGTAATGCACGCATTTGATGGTCAAATAAAATATGCTAACAGGGGTGTTGAAATGGGGTTAGTTAATTAATGTTATGTAGTTCCTCTTTTTTTTTTTGTTTTTTGATATTTTATTTATTAAAATTCATAAATCGCTACGATATTAAGGTTCTTTTTCTCGATACCGCCTTCAATAGTTCGTTCACCTCAAAAACAAAAGTTGGTAGCTGCTATTCCCTTATCAAATCTATTACTTGAAACTGACTCACCAGCCCTTGGACCTGAACAAGGCGTTGACAACGAACCAGATAGCATAGTAATAAGTGCCACAGAAATTGCTAAAATTAAAAATATGGATGTTAGTGATGTGGTAATTGGTTGATTTATTAATTTATTAATTTATTATTGTCATTCTATTCGCATTCTATTCGCTCTATATAAATATATTATCAATTTATAGATTCGACAAACTACTGAAAATGCGTACAAATTGTTTCCGAAAATCAAAAAGAACTCTATTTAATTACTAAATAAAACCTGGTAGCTATAATTGCAGAAATTAAATGTTATTTCTGTATAAAACTTCAAATTTTGCAGGTTTTTTGTAAAATTTCTGCAAAAATACAGATTTTTGCAAATTTACACTTATATAATTTTCCCGATGTCTACAGTATTGTAACTCTTAACTTTTGAGACTCTTTTCTGGATAAATTTCTCATCATAATGCTAAATAAATTTATTAAAGATGTAAGAATACAAATGAATTTTTCCATTGCTAATTGCTCTATTATTTACAGTATGTAATAGTTGATTTTTTTAAAAAAAAATTAATATTAAAAAAATCTTGCGTCGTAAAATATAGATTTTTGATACCGTATATACTATAGAGGTTCGACCCACATAAATTTAAGTCCACCCGCATATAGATCTTAAAGTATTCCGGGTTATCCGGTTAACCCAGTTACAGTTATCCCGTTATAAAATTCTAGTGTTTGTAGTAATTCAATTGGCTACGCAGACCGGACGATTTTTGTGTATGTGAGAATTAAATCAGTAATGAGTGTGTAGGTATCATAACGATAATTTCTGACATTTTAATCAACTATAATTATTTATTGATGTATTCAGATGACAAAATTGAATGAAATCAAATGTTAATAAAATTTTTGAAACAAAAATTTCGCCAGAATTCCAAACACATTCGATCGAATTGATTGGTTTCAAAAAATTAGGTCCCTGTTGTAAGGACCTTGAAGATGATTGAGATCAAATCACGTTCTTTTAAAAAACTGCCGATAACTAAAAATGAAACCACCTTCTGCGCACTAACAAAAAAAAAAATTATTGAAAAAAATAATGGTATACCTCTTTAGATCGTCTGATTGGTGCATTTCACTATCTGAAAATGATGTCATACTATATATACCAATTTTTTTCTTTTTCTCATCGTGATTCCCGGTCTGGCCGGCTGAATTACTGATCTAGCATCGTGTTTTCTCGCGTCTACGAAGTTGAAATTACAGTTATATAGCTGATAGGTATTTTTTTTATTTCTGTTTTATATATTATGTTTTGCTTTATTTTTATGCTTAGCTATTTAATATTATCTTGTTTTTATTTCATTTATTTATAGTGATATGATAATCCAGTTATCATTAAAACCTGGCTTTTTCTTGTTGGTTCTTAGAGCAAAAGAACCAGCCTATCCCCAAAAAACCGATGTACAGAGGCTACATAGAATTGTCATAGCATGTAACATTAGCTAGGTTTATAGATTGTCTTGGTCCTGGGGGAAACTAGTTTATAGATAGCTCTTTTTTATTTTGTTGTTTTCAAAGTGGAAGTTATGGTGACAAGCTGATCTATAAAAGTGTTACAATTACCTGTTATTGTCATTGATTTGCTATCAAATGCCAAAAAATACAAATCATTTTACTAATGACTTGGTATTCTATTTTAGCATTTTGAGATTTTTTTAAAAATCAGAAAATAAATGAATTAAAAAATAATTAAATAAACTTGTCTTTATACCCTTTCTTTGTAGACTTAGTTTGTTTTTTTTTTAGTTAAATTCACAAATTTAAACTTCTTTTGGTCACATAATGCAACCCTTCTCATAATGTGGCCTGGATATTAAAATAAAACATAAGCAAGGTTACTAATAATTATCACTAATTGCAGATTTTTTATAGGTATTGATACACATATTTCAATCTTATTAAAATAAAAATTACATTTATTGAAATAAATAATTCTAAATAAAAGGATCTCCTTTAGTATAGGTGGCCAATATAGTAATATTATAAAATTATAATATAAAAAAACTTTAACCCTAACTCTAGAGCTAACTATAAACTTTACTATAACCCTTACTCTAACCCTAACTAATCTCAAATTTGCTTAAATTAGTTCAAATACTATGTTTATATATTATAATCTTATATTATTTCTATAGTGGCCACCTTTACTAAAGATCAACCAAATAAAATACTATTCTTTTTTAATTGAATCTCAAGACTAGCTCTACACTAAAATAGAGCCATTTTTTTAATATTTTTATAAAAAATATTTATAACACTAATAATTAGTGTTTTTGGTTTCTATTATTAGCATTTTTTACTTTTTTTTAAAAAAAAAATTAAAAAAATAGCTCTATTTCAATGTAAAGCTAATTTAGAGCTTCGATTTAAAAAAAAAAACATATTATTTAATTATTTATTTATTTTAAAAAATGTAATTTTATTTTAGTAAAATTTATAGTGATTATATTATTAGTATTTTTTTATTTTTTTTTAAAAAAAAATTAAAAAAATAGCTCTAAAACTGGTTTAGAGCTTCAATTTAAAAAAAAAATTAACATATTATTTAATTATTTAATTTATTTTAAAAAATATAATAAAATTTATAGTGATTATATTAATTTTCAGATTATATAAACTTAATAAATTGGTTTCTATTACTCAGTCTAGTCAATATTTAAATCCCAAAAGCAATTTTTGTTACTATCAGGTTTTTGTTTTTGGGATTTTGAATATCAGGATTTAACTATTGGTAAACCCAAAATTCTATTAGAAAATCCACAATTAGTAATGATCATTATTAACTCTGCCTAAGTTTGATTTTAATAGGCTGTTACATACCCTATTTGGATGTCAAGCAATTTGTTTATGACACCACTATCACTAACAATATACATTTTTTTAAAGCTTCAAACTCGAGTTATTATATAAATTTAAGAATTTTTTTAATGTAACAGTTAGTAATGCTACTGAAATTGATTTTCAAAAAAGGCTTATTTCGTCTTCAATAGAGCAAATTAAAATTTTTTATAAGAAAGAGCAAATAAAATTTATATATTTATACTCTTTATAATTTCGTCTATTC